CTGAAGTGAAGGAAATTTTCCAAGTGAGTATTTAATACAGAAAAGATATCATTTTTTTAATCTCAGTTCAGAACTTGACTTCAGATATTACTGCTTTAATTAAAATTTGAAAGCACTTCTATGATACCATTGACAAAACAGCATCTGCACTTTTACAGTGAGCACAGGTCACAAAAGAGGAATTAAAACCAGAATAATGCCTAGATAAGGCACCATCTCTCCTCTCTTCACTTCTCCCAGGCTAGTGGGGCTATTTATTACTGGTAGATTTATCTTAATTTACAACCAAAGCACTTGTCTTCTCTAACTCATTCTGATGCTGGGTCACAAGTTCAGGGCTGTACAAAACATACACAAACTTCCAAGTTATCTTAGAAGCATGCCTGGCGTGATGTGCAACTACAAACGAAGAAGCTTACTCAATTTAACTGTTTAATATTAATTGTTAAACATTAAGTAGATAATAATTTCAGTGAGTCAGGGATCAACATTAAAAACTGGGCCATTCACTACAGACAACTGTTGAGATGTTATCACAAATGAAAATTTCACTGTATCAGATTCAAATAATTCCCCCCTCGCCCCTTTTTTTACCTTCAATACACACAATACATTACCACACCAAATGCATTTACCTGTACTGCAAGATCAGGATTCTGGCTTAATGACTGCATCATGCTTCTCATATAGGGTGCAGACAACATATTCTGCATAAGCTGTGGGTTTTCTGTTATCTGCTGTAATAAGCTCTGCATTCCTGGTGTGTTGAACATACCAGCTTAAAAAAAGTAAAGGTCACTTTAGTAAACATCCTGACTATTATCAGATGAATTAGACTACACCTAGAACCAAGATATAACCGCTTAGTTTCTAAGAGTTTTAGTTCCTGAAATACACCTCAACATGGTTGTGCTTACACAGATGCATCTACCTTAGAAGTTAAGACAGAGGCTGTACCCAACAAGCAGCCCCACTAAGTATCTGCATTATTAGCTGTTTTCACATTTGCCTCCAAACATGAAAAATATTATCATTCATCTAGCAGTTCCCTATCTTTGTTATTTTAAGGCAATGCACAAGTATTATTATCACTCTCAGTTTACTTTCCACGTTTGCTTTTCTACAGGGGATTTTGATACTAGTCAAATGTTCTACAAAAGTAAATACCAATAAAAATTCCAAATCAAAAACTCTTTCTAATGAAAGAAACATTTCAAGCTCCCAAGTATGTAAAAATATACACAACTGCAATAACACACCTCCTAGTCCAGGTCCCAAATTTGGTACAGTTGAGCTCTGCCCTGTACTGCCAGAGGTGCTATTTCCAGCACTACTACTGTCACAGCTCTCACCACCAGTGCTGGTACTTGTCGTGGAAGTCTGCGAACTGGACTGAGGAGCCCAGGGATTTGGTAGAGGATCTCTATTTTCTGTACGAGATGGCTGACTGTCCCCTCCTACTGATGCATTGCTTACTAAAGAAGCAAATGGGTTGCCTCCAAACTGCAGAGGAAGGAAAGCAAACATGTATCATCTACTAAAGCCAACCATTTTTATGTCTCTGTAAACGGTAAGTTACCTTTCCAAAATTACATATGAAGATAAATGTCGATGGTTCTTGGTGAGTTATATTCAGCATTCTACAGTAATTCATTGTAAATAATCTGAAAAGACGTCAATATTGAGATACTAGCATCTCCAAAAAAAAAAAAATAATTTCTTTTTGAAAGCAGTGTTGCTACTACACTGGTATTTTGACCACAGTAAGATTATAACTTGCATACTGGTTTCCAACTTCAAACTTTTTTTTTTCTTTCCATCTTAGGTTCCAAGTTAGCAAACACACCCTTAAAAAAATTTCTGGACCTCAGACTTTTAAGGCAAAGAATTCAAATTTAAGTAACACAGAAATTCATTAACTTTAAAATAGCTTCTCAAACACAAAAAGCAGTAGCTGCACTTCAAGTTTAGAAGAGCACAGAATTTTTAAAGAGCTTTCAATAATAAGAGGCCATGTAGTGACTTCAAGCTTCAAGAAATGTTTTGTCAAGTACATATTTAGAAATTTACATTACTTACATGTTTTTATTTTTAAAAAATATTTACTTTCAGTGGCATTTGCAATGTTTTCTCACCTGTTCCTGTGCTGCATTCAACATTGGCTCCTGAATATCTGTGTACATACGTCTCAAGGCATTGTAGCCACCTGGTATACTTTCAAGGTTGCTCAGGGCTCGGTCTTGGTTTCGCATCATTTCCTGCATCATTGCAGGGTTTCTAGCAAGTTCTAGTGTCTAGGGAAGTGGAACGTTTAATCTGTATTAATAAGAAATCCATTCTAAAGTGAAAACGTCAGCATTTGGAAATATCTCACTTCCCACTGTCTAATCCAGTTTGAAATTACAATTAAAGCCAAGTCAAGATGTCAGTTTAGCGGAAGTAAACCGAATTTGTTATTTAGTCAGTATTATACCACAATTGCCACTATGCTGGTTGGGTCAGTAAGCACTGGCCAAACAGAAGAAAAGCCTTGCATGAACTATTCTTTTCTTTTCAACAGACAGCCTATAATATTAACTTTAAAATAAATACCTACCTTTTCAAAAGCATCTATTTGTTTTTTGATACCTTCTGCCACACAGCATATCTTACGTACCATCTAATTTTAAAAGATCAGAAGAGCCCACAGCTAGATAGAATTAAAATACGTAGTATTTTGGGGAATTACTACTTTTGGTAAACTTATTGTTGGCTACAGAACAGAAGGTTTCAAGCGTACACAGAGACATCCAGCTCTGCTCTCAGAAGACTTGATTACTGATGCACAGTCTTCAATGTCTTTCAAAACTATGCTGCATATTTTCTGAATTATCAGCCTATTTCAGACATTAACAACTAGAAATATAAACATAAGTTGCCTACAGTGACCTTTTATGGATTTTCTAACAAGACTAAATACTTCAAGAATGTTTAAGCACTCAACTAAGCATGTCCAATTCCTGCTCTGCTGTTCATAGTTACAGTATAATCAAAGGTCATGAACTTAAGATGAGATCCTTCTACATACCTGTCTCATTATATCTGGATTATTCAGCATGTGACTGATTTCTGGATTTCTCTGTATCAGTTGTTGCATTTGAGGGTTAGCCATAATTAACTGCCTCATCAGGTCAGGATTTGAAAGCATGCTCTGAACAAATGGATTTTCCATTATCTGAACCATCATTTCTGGGTTGGACATAAGTTGCCGTTGCATCTGACTTTGCAACTCTGAAAAGTTTGATGTATTTAAGCCCAGGCTACTCAGACCCGCCAAACCTCCGAGGCCACCTTTAAGAGGATGAAAAAAATATAATTGAACTTTCAGCTTCTAGTATACTTCTAAACACATCCAGGTTCTTTCTCAATACAAAATACTTTAACATATCCCACACTTCAAATGAAAATGAATGGTAAGTCCATCTTTGCAAGGCTGTTCAAGTGTTATCCAATGAGTTTGCTTCTTTAAATAGCATGACAACTAAAAATCCAACAAACTGCATCAGAAGTATGACTTGTTACAATTCTAACAGCTCTTCTCATTTTCCATAGCTAAGATGCAAGCGACGTTTGACTTTTGGGGTCTTAGGTTCCCACCACCACCCCCAGCAACACTTTCCAATGCATTTATAATAATTGTTTGTCTGTCTCTTCTTGGTTAGACTACAACCAAGAGAGATCTCACAGTTTGACTCATATTCCCTACTGTAATTACAAGCAGAGCTCCTCTTCTTACTAATGCACCAAGAACTAATTATGCTTTGAATTCCCCTCCTTTGCTGCGTCCAAACAAAAAGTTTCAGAAGGTACTAGTCAGTCTGAAGAACCGTGTACACCTAAGAAAGCAATTGCTTACTGCAGTTAGCTCTTCCAATTCCACCTCTTCCCCAACCTCCAAAAGCAAATTAGAGATGAAAAAGAATGAACCAAAAACCTTCACTGTGATTATGGAAATAGTATTTTTAAGTCAGACTGTAGCCTCTTTATTCATGAGAGAGAAGACTGATGATGCTATCAGAATTGGAACCTGAGAAATACTGAATTGTAAGTTTAGCAGCAATTTTGTTACTTTTGTTCCAGGTGTTGCCTTCATGTTACAGGTCCAAATTCATCAACACGCTCCTCACAGCAATTCAGAAGCACTTCTAAGGAGCACAAGGACACAGAAGGAGTTTCATTACCCATAGTGCCAGAATATAACATCAGTGGCGCCTTACTAGTGAAGGTGAAACAGCACAAGTCTGAAGTTCTGTACCTAAAATTAAGGAAACCGCTTTCCTCCAATAACTTACTGATCAGAAACCTTCTACAACCACTACCACAGATATCTGTAATCAGTTTTTTGGGTGATACGTGTGTTTGTGGGTTTTTTTGAAGTTTGTAAAGAATAACGCTCCAGGAACAATTACCTGAATCCAAAAGAAGATACCCACCATGCTACCTAACAAATATTCTTACCCAAGCCAAAAGGGTTACTATTTGTGGAAGGTGGTGTTGAGGTACTACTGCTTGATGTTGATGTGGTAGCAGTACTCCCAGTGGTGTTTGTTTGTTGAGCGGGGTGGTCTTGTGATCTAAAAAAGCAAGTTTAAAAGTTGCAAATTTAACAAGTTAATTTAAATAATACCATTAAATACAGGAATCCTATCATACTTGAAAATCTTAATTTATATTTTGATTCTTTCTCAAAAATCACACTAGATCTCCAGATGGCTTCCTGTAACAAATCTTTCTCAGACATCTGTAATGTCATCAGTTTTTCAGAACAGTAGTTTGAGACATTACAAAAATGGATGCAGCCATTACCACCTTCTCAACCTATCTCCAGGATGCTCGCCAACAAATTGTTTCCTCTGTCCTTACCTTGATTTAAGGATCCTTGCCTTATTCCACTATACTCAAATACTACTGATTACATGCCTGGGGCTTAAAGAAATACAGCCAAGCAAGATTTAATGTCAGATTTATTTCATGCCACATCTTTAATAGGGTGCTTTACTAAATGTGAAATTCAGTTAACGTTTTATTTCATTAGAAGACAAAATCAGAATCTCAATAACCTTTAAGACTTAAAGAACAGGGTAAAAACGTAGTTACACAAAGTTAAAGCCAGCATAATTTAGCACAGGCACTAATTCTGCCCAAGTCCTGTACTCACCACACCTTCCTACTGCAGAGGCATAAACATGGATGCTGCCATGTAGTCAGAGAGATCAAGGAACCGAGCTTGTGTAAAGCTAACCTGACCTCTCCTCAAAAGAAAAGAGGCTAGTTTGAAACCCAAATCAGTTCTCCAGTCTGGTTCAACAATCAATCTCATAAAAGCCTGCATTTGCAGAACTACAGTGTAAAATAACTTGTAGAAACTACGAATTCAGACCTCACACAATACAAAGATTTGAGGATTCGACAGTACATTAGATTTCATACCTCAGTTCATCTCAGAGTAACCTTCTACTGTAATAAAATTCTGTGCTTGTTTTGCTAAAGCAAAGGCTGGGGTGGGAGGGGGAAACACAATCAAAAAACTCTGAACAAACTAACCAAAAAACCCAAGCCTGAACAATGTCTCAGGCCCAGAAGCTTCTCTGAAGTTTCTAAGAGTTCTCTGATTCCAAGCTAAACATCAGCCACCAAAACCACAGACAGAAACCAAAGGAACAATGAAATACTTCACACACTTTGCAAGTTCTTTCAAACCAGCTTATAAGTAGCCCATCTCCTGGTATACCCTGCTGATCTGACCAGCATTCTTATAAATAGGTAAATAAAATGTGGCATGCCAAGTCATGAAGGTATAGGATGCCATGGGACCAAATCATCTCATTCAAGTTCTTACTGATGTTCCAGGTGTGAAGAAGCAGAAACAAATTTGAGTCCAGAAGATCTAACAGTTCTTCTAAAACTCAAGTCCATATTGATTCCTATGAATTAATTTTTTTGCTTATTTTATTTTGTATTCCTTTGTTTAGGTCTACCAAAAGACACACAGATTCTGTTGGATGAAAATCTGTTTTAAAGGAAACCTTTCAGGCAGAGACTAACAATCCAGAAAGGGAATACCTGGATACTTGGCTTTGACATAAGCTGTCCTGACATAAGGCATCAGGTGAAACTCTGGGCTTCTGAGTAAAACAAGCATTAATACTCTGTAACATTAACAGCAGCTGCAAACTTCGAACACAAGATGACTACCATTAGACAGGCAGCTGTAACTTCAATGAGGAACACTGTAGACTGTAAATCAACCATGGATATTCTGCTAGAGATACTTGGTTTCCTTTGGTTTATAAAACACATACATCTTTCCTCCATAAGCAAAAGGAAAATAATAAGCATAAAACCCTATTTGGTTTTTCAACCGAAAAACTATTTCAAGAGGCAACTCTACGTCTTCATGTAACAGACAAGAAAGGTTCTCAAAGCAGGACAGAAAAGCAGACGAGACTCAAAATTTGCAGTTCATAGTGCTTCTATGGAAACCGGAGGTATACACCGTCAAGATAATCGTTTGACTGTGAAGTCTGTCAGCCTCAAGTCTTTGAGTGAAATTCTTGTGAAGTGCACATCATCTTTTATATCCACTGTGCCATTGCGTTTCCTCCTGTTGCATGTGAACAAATTATACATGTTGACTTGGAACTCTGTATTCAGAAATTGAGAGCATCTTCACTGCCCATTGCTAACCACTCGCTGCTACTCTGACACTGTATAGGCCAGGTTACAAGATTACACTGGAAGCCTGTATCATTCTGGAAAATCTAGCACATTAATAAACCCATCTTTTTTCAGCAAGGATTGCGTGGGATATATGAGGATTCCTATTTGAAAGTTACACATCTAATAGTTTAGAAGGCAAAAGATTACCATCAGATCTAGTTTTGGAAAAGAACTTTTATTTATTCAGATATATGGCAGCTACAGTAGCAACAACGGCCAACAGAAAAGTAATGGCATAGTGCAAAGTAGTTGGGTACAATGCAATCTTGATATTCATAGCCAAAAATCAGCACTTGCCAGGCCACCCTGGCAGGGTCCAAGTTGTGCCTGCTAGGTCAAGCATAAAATCCAGGTATTTTAATAAAAATACTGAGATGGTTCAGGACAATGTTATACTTTCTCAAAGGTGATTTTCATTGTGCTGGCAATTCTCTTCAGGTCTTAGGAGAATATTTTCAGTTTATTCTGAAAACATTACTGCCTCATTTGAAGATAGGGTAGACACGTGCATAGGGTCTGTAGTTTTGTTTGTACTTCCTTGTCTGAGACATGATTAAGACATTCTGAAGATAATAGTAATACACTGTTCTACAATTATTCAAAAAAGTGGGAGTGAGGGGAGACGTGGAGTACAATGCTGACAGGACCAAGGCAGACACCAAAAATTGCCCCAAAGCCATAAATGTGGCATTGTGCACGGGTGATCCTTTGCCTAGAGGCAAAGTTCAAGAAGGTACGAGAGACTGGTACTGCTATTTCAGTACGTATAGCTACTGTGGGTCTAGCCTATGAACCCTCTGAAGGCTGTGCAAGTCAAAAGCATCCTGCTATCACCACTCATGAAGCCTCTCTGCCACACTCAAGACCACAAGCAAAAAAAAAAAAGCATTAGTCACAATAACAGCAGAATTCTACTTTAGATGCATGAAGCACAAAACTGCAGTATTAGATAATGCTGCTTACAAGATTGGGATGGCTATCAGGCCTAAATTTCAGGCTGGAGAGGCATAGGGCAGTGAAGGGAGACCTCTGCCAGTGCAAACAAAAGTGGTTTGATAGAGACATGACTCCAGGACAGAGAAGACAGTCCCACCAGGATGTGAGCATGGAACTGAAGACATCAATTTCAACAGATGCCCAGTACATTTAATGATAATGCTGCTAGTAGGCCTTTGTGACTTCGGGAGGCCTGGAAACAGAAAACATATTTCCTTTCTCTCCTAAGCTCCATGCTCTTTCCTTCATCACCTGACATCTTCCCACAGGAGGAGATCCTCACTACAAACAGCAAAGACTTAAGTACAACAGGAGCAAGAACACTTTGTGTTAATGACTAAGCAAACTAGATTCATGTGAGTATGTATTACTACTTGCTGAAAGGATTTTTTTAGCTGAGCCTTTTCCCTCTGGGCACTTCACATGATGTAATTTCCAGATGACACAGCTCAACTGATGCAACTTTCTCATCATCATTTTGAAGTTGCCTCACCAAAATAAAACAAACAAACAAAAAGACCTTAAAATCCAAATCTTTCTGTTCAGCCAGATAAATTAGTTGCACTAAAGCAGTCCTCCCATAAAATTTTTTTTTTCTTGTTTTACCTGCACAGTGAGTAAGGATTCATTGCAAGTTTTCATGCATGAAAACCAAAGCTGCACAATGTATCTTTATGGATAGTAAGAGCTGACATCTAAGAACTGCGGAGCCAAAACAGAGCCAGCACTCAGCACGAAAACCAAGAAGTTAAATAATAAAAAAGCAAGAGACTTGCATTTAGAAACAGTAATGCAATTAAAATACAAAATACAAAGAAAAGAGCACTAATTTCAGACTGTTACTCTACATCAACCATGACTATGGAGCTGATTAAAGTGATTTAGTCAAATCTAGGTTTGCCCAACAGAAAGCTGTTAAGAATTCAGAGTATTTTTACTTCTTAGAGGTAAACAGACGATACGTCGTCAGTAAGGTTACCTGTTTTGTGTTTTGATAACCAGGTGAACAGTGAGTCCATCATGAATTCCATGCTGAGTCAAAGTATCTTGATCTTTCAGAATTTTCCCAGCAAATATCAACACAAGCTGATCAGTGTGGGACTTGAAACGCTTAGAGATTTCTTCCTTGAACTAAACAAAAAAGTTAATATCATACATTTATGTACTTGAATACTGAACTGCAACTTTTTAATCATTTAAGGACAAGTTATTTTGACCACATTTAATGTATTACTCCACTTGCACTGCACATTCTGTTTTACACAATCTAGAAATATTTTATTTCTCAAGTTTTTGTCCATAGGAAGATGGGAAATAGTTATTTCTTTTTTGTACAATAAAAATCAGAAGAGTATGAACTGGGGATGGAAGATAAGATACAGCAAGATCTCATGTTATATAACTAGCAATAACAATCTGATTCCACTTAAAGACTACTGTGGCTTCAATCAGGCATGCATCCATGACAATAAATATATACTAGTATACATACCAGATACATACATACTGTAAAGCATCCATACGATTATATACTAGTAAGTATACATTCACATATATATATATGCACACGCGTGCTACTGAAGCCATCAATTGCTGAAGGACTGAAGATGCAATGTCACAAGTACGATGAATCTGTCTACGCTTTTACTGGAACTGAACAGAGAAGTATCCTCTCCTGTCAGCCATATTTTTGCTGTTTTCCATGTGTCAAAACTAGCAAACCTTTCTACACAGGCAAAAGTTACCTCTCAGGTGGCTCTGCTTTTTCATTCAACATATGACATAGCTAACTGAAATGTGGTTGCAGCCTAGGGTATGGCGAACAGCCACATCCTTCAGCTGACCAGGAAATCATATCCTCATTAACATAACTGAACATGGAAGCCTACTTCTTGCCTTCCTAGCCAATAATAACCAGGTTGTGCTTTGACTGAGATTTATTATTTAGAACAATGCTCTCACCAAAAGCAAAAAATGCACAAAACTTAAAAAGGAAGATATCCAAGAAAAAAAAAAATCTAAGGAATGACTTGATTATAAGAAAGCCAGACACATTTATTCAACAATACTAGTCAGTAGTCTATTTTTAAAACTATCCCAGACAGTTCTTAAGTCCTTCAGAAGTTCACACTATTTAACATTTTAAAATTAAGTTGACCGTACTACTTTAAAAAACATCCCACACATCCTAGGGAATTTTCACTCCATATAGGAAAATAAAATATTAAATCATGCAATTATTTATTCATAACTACATTTTATAACAGGCAGGACTAAAAAAGGTAAAATCCCACTGTATTAAGCTTTGAAGGTGAGTCTCTATTTGAAAGTGCTTATAGTACAGGAAGAGAAAAAAACATGGTTAAAAAAATAAGAGAGTCTCAGAGACAACAGAGGTAAAAACTCTCTGTGTGTTTGGGTAGGAAGTTGTCCTTGATTAGTTAAAAGGCTACTCACGCAGAGGTAGTTCCAGTTCTTGGGGAAAAAACTTTTAAGTCAGCCTTTACATCAGCAATATTTAGACTTGCAAGTATTCCAGAAAGTCACCCCTCCCCAAAGTGGGTTACTTACCTGAATTACTGCTGATCTGACATGTTTATCTAGTCTGTTCTGAGGTCCCCAGTGACTTTTTTCCCCAAAAAACCTATGCCAGTGTTTCACTATCCGATTTCTTCGTTGTGCTGCCCACAGTGGACAATGCAAACAGATTGTTGTTCTCCTTAGAATAAAGGGTTGCAGTAAGGCTAATCTTTCCTTGAGGGTTGTTCTCTAATCCAATCATTCCCACCACTCTTTGGATTTTCAAATACAATTACACCATTCCATAATGTGGAGCTCAAAACTGGCCAAAATATTCCACACTAGTTCTTATCCATACTTAGCGAAACAACAGGACAAACCCCACATCCTGCAAGTTGTATTCCTATTTATAAGAAAACGTGAGAAATCCATGTGGGAAAATGTTAATGTAACAGTGCTGACTTATTTTAACAGCTATAAACTCTAGACCTTTTCCTGCAGAGCAACTGTTCAGGCAGTTGCTTCCTATTCTACATTCTTCTGGTTAATTATTCTTAATAGGCATTCCAAAGTAACATAAAAACAGCACAACTACTCAGAATTTGCTACAAAACTAAGGCATAAGAATAAAGGACTACCATACTGTGCCAAACCAAAGAGTAATGTCATTCACCCAGACTCATTTATTATTGTATTTTCCACAATATGTTGTAACAGCGAGATCCACAACTTACCTGTCATCAGAAGGATGATGCTGTAGTATAAACAATATTCATAGAATCACAAGAATATCTCAAGTTGGAAGAGACCCATAAGGATCATTGAGTCTGACTCCCTGCTCCTCGCAGGACTCCCTACAACTAAATCATATGACTAAGCATCGTCCAGATGCTCCTTGAACTCTGACAGACTTGGTGCTGCGACCACTTCCCTAGGGAATCTGTTCCAGTGACTGACCACCCTCTCAGTGAAGAACCTTTTCCTAATGCCCAACCTGAGCTTCTCCTGATGCAGCTTCATTCCATTTCCTCATGTCCTATCACTGGTCACCAGAGAGAGATCAGCACCTTCCCCTCCGCTGCCCAACTTGAGGGGGTTGTAGACTGCAGTGAGGTCACCCCTCAGCCTTCTCTTCTCCAAACTGAACAAGACAAGAGACCTCAGCCGCTCCTTGTAAATCTTGCCCTCAAGGCCTTTCAACACCTTAGTGGTCCTCCTCTGGACATACTCTAATAGTCTGATGTCCTTCTTCAAATTACTTTCTCTTAAATCAAAGTCAGGGAAACAAAATCCCATTTATAGAACACAACCAAACAGTATCTAATATTACTAGTATACAGGCATTGAAGGCTATACACTTCTTTTTCCCTGCTTGCATGTAATGCTATTTAGATGATCTGCAAAAACACCACAGTAAGACATGAATGTAACAGCCAATGTACCAGGACCCCCAAAACAACCCTACAGTAACATACATCCATGATGCAGATGCACAATATATTTCTTTCCAGTCACAATAATAACACTGTCAAGAATATTGAGCCCATTTTGGCTGAGGCATATTTACATAACAAGCCCAAGTGAGATGCAAAAAGAGTTGGCTCTCTTCATCAGCTTCACTTGCATTCAGGACAACCTTGGGACTTCTGAAGTGATAAGGTATAAGCAGGACCAAGCCCTCTGTTTGACACTTCATTCACAGAAGATTACCACGCGAAACATAAGTTACCACGCAAGATACTTTCCAATAGAGTCTGCTGATCAGTGTTAACAGTTAAAGACACCATTAATAACAGATTAGGTCCACACACTTTATTTTTTTGCTGAGACAGGAAAAGAATCTTCTACACATTTGTAAAACAGAATCCCAAAAGCATTTTCAATACATGTGAGTGTGAGGTTTTTTTAATTGTCAGCATCTAATATGTTGCTTCAGGGGGGCGGGGGGGAGAAACAAACCTTAAAAATCACAACACAAATAAGTCAGTCTTCAGCATCACCTGATCTCTACCAATACTGGAAGGTGATTAGCCTTAGGTCAGAGTTTGGCACAAGTCACTACTGTTTGCACTCTGAAATAAATTCAAGGATGGTGGAAGAAAAGACTCTTCACCACCCTCTGGGGGTTAACACCTACCTTCAGTATTCTCAGTCTCTCACTTTTAATGTTAACTGAACTGCAAGACCATTCCCCCATAGTAAAGGGGAAAATCCAGAAGTTTCTTTAAATTCAGACAGTGAAAAGACAAGAGAAATGACTGGCAATTACATTCTTACTCCCACAGACCTTATCCATGTAGTTTTTATAGGACTCCACCACTCTTTACTGGCATCAAATAATTTGGGGCATAAGGTGCTATAGCACTACACTAACGAAAGACAGCATAAACAGTGAAGACAACTATCTCAGTTTTCTCCAACAGAACTGTAAACATTAATCTAGTATGTATTGCCTCAGAGCCTCAAATTAAACACACACAATCAATAGCAAAGGGAATAAAGGAAATGAGATTTTGATGATGGGAATTAATACATATATAGGCAGTTTTAAGAAAAAAACCAAACAGTATTGTTTAAATCTTAAGTTTGTACGAGTGAACTAAATAACCCTATCCGTAAATTACAGTTAAAATACTTTGTGACCTGGGAAAACCAAAAGCAGAAAGAGTTCAAAGCATCACTGGCTAGAAACTACAAGAATTCCTGTCCAATTCTCCTATCGCACTGACTCTTCCTTTTTATGAAGAAGCAACATTTGAAGCAATTGTTTCAGCTGATTTGCTTTACTGTTGTAAAATAGAAGTTTTACTTCATTGTAGTAATATTAGGTATTGTGGTATTACAAAGGTGTTCAGTTATACCCAAGCACAGAAATGGACTTTAAGTTGTAAAAATAAAGAATGTTTCACCATACCCAACACCTACCACATTCACGGAAACTAGTTCATTGTACTACTCTAGTAACTGAATACAATAAAAGAAACGTAAAATGATGTCAATTTTAGACACGATTATTAGACAAATCAGTGGAGAGGAACACAATGTGAATCAGACTGAAACACAAGACTAACATCTAGACAGAGGCCTGGTCTCCCCAGGGAGAAAAGGAGAAAGCATTCTTAACCAGAGCAAATTAATTCAAGGTCACAGCCTCCTCAAATCATGCCATCTTACAGAGTTGATACAAATTAGAGCAAATCTAAAGCTAGTGTCATTGAAAAGCCTTGCCCACATTACCACTTACTTGTTTCTATTAACTTTTTTTGTTGTTTTTAAAGGACAGGAACAGCATAATTTCTCACATTGAGGAACATTCACATTTTTTTAGCAGCACACCAGCACTTCTTGTTTACACTCTCAATTTCCATGTCAAATATCCTCATCTTCACACAACTTTAAAACACTTGGCTAACAAAACCCAGCTTTTTTGTTCCATATTAACACCAAAAAAAAAGGCTCCATGAAGCAAGTTAGGATTTCTATTACACCTGCACAACTTGATTGGCTCTGAATGTTTTTGCAAAGTAGAGGTGTTGATGCTCAGCGCTGAACAAATGCATACTCGTACCTGAGCTAGACAAAGTAAACACTTTGTCACTGAACAAAGCAAATATCTGAGCACACGTGAGTACAACGGCTGACTAAAACTGAGACTGTTTTGCACTGCCACTTTGCAGGGCAGATCCATACTTTAAACATTAACCTATTAACATCTGACAAGCTGGCCTAGGAAGGGTCTGGTAAAAAGTTATCCCAGGCCAAGTAAAAAAATCTTAACCTGCAAACTGTCCTTTGGTACGTTACCATCATATAATGATTCAAAAGCTTTTGCTGAGTCACTCTATGACATCAAAACCAGTAACTGTTAATAACTTTACTATCCATTCACATGACAAAGTGCTGTGAAAGAGGAATAAAAAGAAGAAAACCAAGAGATGAAAAATACTCCCCTAAATCCTCTCAACCTTGGCTTAATAAGACATATTTAAAAAAGAGGCCTCAGGGAATTATCATCCAATTCCCACCGAAAAGTAACAGAAAACGGGCCACTAAACACTGCAACTGCTTTGAAAACACTAAGCTACAATTTTATCTGGACAACAATAAAAAAAAAGTTGCTGACTCTTCCCACACCAAACTATTTTGAACACAGTAGTGAACGACATGGAAGCAAAGGCTTGTATCATGCCCAGCAGGCCCTCAAACAGTTCTACTACAAAATGATTTTTGAATCACATTACCTTGTTGAGGATTGCTCTTTCAAACCACACCCATGATCGTTTACGCTTTCCACTGCCATTCCTGTAACACACTGTTAAGCGTATTAGCCAGACTCTAGCTTTTCTTACACCCACACGCAGCAGTTTCAACAGAGGCTAACTTTGATGAGCTCCAGCTTTCTCTTACACAAGAGAATTAATGGCTACAGGTCTTCTTGACCCAAGAAGCAAGGAACAAAACACGCTCATGGCAATACAAACGCTTATAGCTGTGCTCTCCTTTCCTGATGAATCATACCTGGTAATCTTACGACTATGAATTACAGTGAGTCAGTGAAAACAGGGTTTCATTGCACAATTCTTGGATACTATACAGGAAGGGGTACAAGACTTTGATTTCAAGCAGGAAAGCACTTTTGGCTCGCAGCCCATAGTTTGTAGCAGATAAAGTGTAGCTAGAAAGTGCACCCAAAATTAGGCTTCTATATAGGTGTACTCTGTTTCTCATGGCTCGATGGAGTTACTATCTTCCTGCGCCGTTGCCAATGACCCGTGCTAGTTTCACAATCAAATTATTTCATCAAATCTCTGCAAACAAACCAAGCTCACAAAAAACTCCTCTCAAGAAACAAATTCATATTCTTGATGACCTTACAAGGCTAGCAGCCCAAAAAGGAAAACTGTGGCAGTGCAATTTAGTGGAAAGGGCTCAGGACTCGTGTTCTAGCCAGCTCTATCCATTCCATGCATCCTTCAGCAAGCCACTCCACTCCTCCATGCTTTGACTCAGAAGAAATGGTTAGCAATTCTTCCCTTCTCCATAAAAGCACTTCGCAATGTACTGGTGGAAAGTGTTGTATTTGCAACAGAACTAGTCTGTTCTCTAGCAAGTCACTGAGACTGGAAAAGGGCATAAAATGATCATGTGTAAAATGGGATTCTTGCAATACAGCTCCTTTTTGAGAACCTACCCTGTACTTTCTTTTTCATGGGACAGCATAAGACATTTTATCCTTCAAGCTAAGCGGGAGGAGCTTGGGCAACAGCCATTTTTCTTGAGGAAACACAGAGATGTGAGTTACTGCCGACAGAAGAATTCCTTCTCACCTAACCTTCTAGGTAAGCGTCTTTAAATAGTTTAATTTTGGCAAGTTTGAAATTTAACGTGATACAGAACATAACCATGAGCGGACCACAGACATAATGGCTAACATTCTTTTAGCCTGTCAGTGGTAGAGAACAATTAGCCCCATCAACAACAAGAAGTCTAAATAAAAGCTTTTTTCTCCATGTCACTATGTGTTCCCAGTTCTTAAGGTTTTGACCCAACCTTACTCCCAGATAGTGACCCTTCTCACACAGCCAACGTTTACTGTCACTAGATTGAGATGCTGACTGGGCTGTAAAATAAATATATAGACTACCTTACCATGACACTGGTACCACAGCTGTTCATTCATTTGAATTTTCTCTGCTGTTGGCAGTTTTGAACAGTACACAGGATGATACCTAAAAATTCTGTGACACCCCTGGCCCCTGACTGAGGGTGAGGGATGCTAGCAAAACAAAGCCACGGGAAGTCACAGGAGGAAGGCAGGCCCTGTTTGACATGGACAAAGTTTTAAAAGGATAAAAAAAAAAATTGAAAATAAATCTGTTACTCTGCAGAAAAGTATCTGCACATTTCACAGCATTATTTACATAGGTGTACTTATTTTACTCTATCTGCCAGTCATGTATCAGAAAACACTTGCCATGTACTATGGTTAGACAACTGATACTTTCATCTTACATCTAAGCCAACTGTCAGGAAAGTCAATATACCTTCTTCTAAAGACTTTTATTCTACCAAATAGTTACCTAATATTGCTCTAAAACAATTTTAACCAAGTTTCCAAAGTGATGAAAAAATAGCTTAAGGAACATGAATAAGCAGACTTTATTGCAAGGCAGGCTCCATAAAGAGTTATACAGATGTGTTCCAATGCACTGAGACATCGACGACAGAAAACCTAATGCTAAACAATTCACATACTCAAGTGCCTTGACTGCCAACCGAAAGCTAAACCATAATCCTGGAAAAGAACAAACTCCATTATATAGTTTCAACCTCTTTTGGTGGTACTATTCAGTAATCCCTGGAGCACAGAAAAACACTGAGACAGAGCTGAACTGAGTTAAAATAATTGAAGTGAAACTGGTTTCATGAAGTAAAACATTACATAAAATATTAAAAACATATGCAAGTCAGGAAAGATGCTCCACTACCAAACCACCCAGTGCTCCCCTTAACATCTGTGATCTTGGTAAGCAGAACATTACCAACCTGGGATAGTGAGAACCAGGCACAAATCTCAAACCCTGGACTTGTTGATTTGAAGTTCCTGTATTCAAGCTGTAATCAGAGAATACAACTTCACAGTATCTCCACTTGATAAAAATGAGCCTCAATACAACGTACACATTTAAACATGTAATTCAGTAGGTCAGGGTTTTTTATCCATAATTTAGTGTAGTACAGAAATATTTATGAGTTCACTTTAACTCATAAAAAACATACTAAAAAACATACTAAAAGCTGTTAAATGTGCTAGTACTGAAAACTGTATTCCACACTGAAGAGAAATTCCATTAAAAGGCTGAAGTTAAATAAACATGAGAAAAAAATGCAAAAGAACCAAATCTGTTTTCTGTGGAACTAAACTCCCTCTTCACTAAATTTTCCAGATGGACAATACTCTGAAACCTTCAGATAATCAGGAGATTGACAATAATTCTCTGGAAGACCTGTAAGCTTCTGAAATTCTTCATGCAGATTTGCTATTCCCACTCCTTGTTTGCCTAACAGTTAAAAATATAGAGCAAGGCACATTATTCTGTAATGTTCACAGAACGCACAACTTGGTACCTTGCAGTCTGCATACACACTGGTGGACAGTAACTCTGAACCAGTTACAATAAACTCTTAAACACTGGGTATTACAAGAAGCACACCATGAAGTCTCAGCAAGCTTTAACTCTTCTATAAATGCCTTTATGGCATGAACAGTCTAAACGATGAAAGCAAAACTGTTTTTCCATGTAACTGGTTCCAACAGCTCATCACTCAAAGAATTCAAGTAATTCACTAAGACATGAGTTGCCCCCAACACAAGTGCACTTTCTCTTTGTACACAGGCTTTACCAAAACACATTGTTAAATCAACTTTGCTAAGCAAGGAATGGCAAAGATTGCATTGCCATGAACTCAGAAAGTAAGCCAAAGAGGTGCGGGGGAGGGGCAGTAAAGACAAAACAGTTTTACTGAGCTCAAGTGTCAGCACCATCAGGGTCAGCTGAAGTCAGCAGGCTTACAGTTATTCATCTTTACCCACCACATATTCGTGAAGCCCTTGCACAGAGCAAGATCAGTATGACACCCAGTCAAGAAAGCAAGTATTTGGTCCTTGTCCTAATACTGAGGCAAACTGCACTCAGTACAACCAAATAGGTTCCACAGGAAAAAAAGACAAATGAGTGGCACTTGTCTCTACTTGAAGGGTATTTTCCATTCCAACCTGCATACTTGCTGTTCTAGCTGCACAACATAGGATCAGCAATAACAAATCCTACATTGCTGAAGTCCTTCAACATAGGGAAATATCTTCCTTGGCTTAGAGAGGTTGCAAGCCTGATTTACACTAACAGAGCAACATAAAACATGCTTTGTGTAGCCCCAAATTTGGCCCTGATGATCCAAAATATTTACCTAAAAAATCTAGATTTTTGTTCTGGCAGTATTCTGAAGTGACTGCAATAAACACAACTCACCAAGTCATAGTATTAGCTACAACTGAAATAGGTTTTATTTTGCTGCATGAGTTTAGGGCTGTTGGGTACTTTTTTCAATCTGCAAATATGGCAGGCATTGCTGGCACATCCCACGCCACCAGAACAAACCACTTGCCGATCCCAGATGCCTTTGAACAGATGTTCAACTTGTTTCTAGAGTGAGTCTTGAAAATAGGTTAATCTCAAATACAAAACATCACATCTACTGTTGATGCTTATTATTAACAACAGCTCATTGTCACAGTTTAAGAGAAACAGCCAATACTAGCCACACTAACTAAAGGGACAGTGCACTTTTTTAGCACTAGCTATTACATTATCTGGGACTCCAAGCAAATGGTTGACCCACAGAGGCAACTTTACTTCACAGGAATCAAGATATCACTGCAGATCTAATCTCTTAACAGCAGCTCCAAAAGAAACAACATTCAAAATTCAAGAAATTTGTGGAAAACAAAGACATTTCAAGCAGCGTGTTCTATTAATTACTTAAACTTGCAAGGCTGCTTTCAGTAAAAATTCACATTCTTGCTAGGTTGTATAACTATTTCAGTTTAACACAACTGCTTCTTTGAAAACCTGGCAGCCCTATTGGCATTCACATTTGAAACAATCTTGTTAAAGTCAAATGTATGAAATTTTCACACCTTAAGGAGATCTGTTTATAATTCCTGAAAGACCCAAAGTAATGGCAGACTGCTTTTCAGGACAAATGCAATCCTCAGGTTACATCCAGTGTATGAAGCTCTTTTAAAAAACAAAAGAAAACAAAACCCCAAAACCTGCAAAGACTTTTACAAAAACTGCATTGATGCTGCCCACAAATCTATAGAGAACAGAGACGTGAAAAGCACCCCTTTCAGGCCGAGATTGCTGGGAAAGCAGTGAACAACATTAAAAAGCAAACACAGTCATTTTACCTTTGGGAGAATTGCCGATTAAGCTTGCAGAGAGAGTAGCTGATAGCATACAATGCCACAGCTGCAAAAGACTAGTGGAGACAAGCGAGTAGCCTCTCTCCTCTGCCAGCTGGAGAGAAGACCTCAATGAAACTTACGTTTGGGATACTTATAAGCCAAATGCTGACATAAGAACACCTGAATCTAAAAGAGATCCAAAGGTAAAAACTTGAAAGAAATATCAGCGTTTTGTCTCTTCACAGCAACTAGGTAGAGCAAGAGTCTGATGTTCTAGCCAAGGTGCTGGCACTACATTTCCCACCTGGGAGCCTTTAGTTCACTTTATTGTACCCTCCTCTGATAATCGCAGTGTCTTTCAGCTCAGCCATACAGAAAGATTTCAAGCTCTGTGTCTAGACATCAGTGGCACTGACATACATATAACCGTTTTTTGGTGAGGTTTGCAATTGTGACCACACCAAAAAAACCCTGGCATTGAACTGAGCTGCCTCATTCAGAGACATTTCAGCGAGAATTTCAGAGAAATTCTATAGAAAATGAAGTAAGCTCCGAATCGCCTTCAGGGAACTTCACTTTCTGAAGTATTTTAGCACTGTAACGTCTACATCCTTCACAAGCAGGAGACTCTAGTTTTATAAAGACTCTACCTTACAGGTTGATTACATCTTTTCTACAGTTTGTAGCTTCCTAATTTAAATAAATTACGTTTTAGTCAATACTTGCATGGAAAACATCCAAGAAAAATAAAAGAGTTGCACGAAATAGCATTGATGATTCAGTGGGTGTCACTGTTTCTGTTGAGCCAAAGGCACCATGGGGCACAGACTTTCACAAAAACGCATAAAAGACCCTAATAATTCAGAATTACCCAGCAGTACCGCCATGCTAGGTACCATATCAATGACTAGGCCATTTTGCAGCAAAAGGTGCACTTTATTTGTAATGCAAGTTTTACAAACACAGTGTAAAGTTATGCCTTCTCTAAAACGAAGACATCTTTGTATAACCTACTAAGTTTTTTTAAAGACAGTTTTATATCACGATAATCATTGGCAATACAGCGCTACGACGCAGGTGACTGCATAGGTTTTCTATAGTCATACTAGCTAGCCCGCCAGCCTCCTACTTGCAGACCGAGTCAGCTCGCCAGGGCGACTCGCAGTTAGAAAACGAGCTACATCCACCTCCCGAAACGATTCTCAGCACTGCAACAGGGAGGAGAGAAGCTGGGGAGGAGGTGATGAAGCGGGAGGTTTCTTCAGAACCCCTACTAGCTTCAGACAGCAGCAGCCCCCTCCTGGGCCGGGATCAGCCCTGGTATCCACCCAAAAGCGCCCAGACCAGTCCGGGCGACCAGCAGCTGCTTTGTCACCGCGAAGGGCCCTCACCCTGCAAAGCTGGAGGCGGGAACCGCGGGCCCAGGCTCTTCTGTCG